CAATGCATGCGACTGGTTTACTTTTTCCCTGTGCCATTCCACATTATTACAAATAACTTCATTTCTGGACATTTATGGTTTGATTTCTTTGTATGTATGGATCACTTGGGTTGTTACCAACATCTGGTGAAAATTTCATGTCATTAGCACCTCTAGTAATATATTTACTGAGAAACATGGTGACATGTTCAATACTTATTTTACCAGCTGTATAAGTAGGGTATAATGAAGTTTTTGTAATTTTACTGTAATTAAATGGAGATATTTTGGTAAATTAGGTTTCCAGTGTAGTTTTCAGGCTCTATTCATTTAATTAAAATGACCAAATGCTGACAGAGTAACGATTTAATTTTAAGCTTTAAACTCTTTTAAATATACACTCTAAGATTAAAGGCCAAATTAAAAATAAAGTGCACATATTAGTTCATCCAGATGTTTTTCATGGGTTGGGGTCTGTGTTGGTACCCAGGTGATGACTGCTGGGCAGTTTGCAGTCTGAGTTCTGCTGGTTCAGATGCTGCTTCTTCATGTTGTACTGTTGCTCCGGGACCGGAGGTGACGTCTGGTTCAGAGCGTCCAAGAAAGGAGGAACAGGCAAGTCTGTGTTTAAAATATATTTAGATCATTTTACAGGAAAACCAAACTGAGCTTTATTCAGGAGTACATTCTGAAATCAAGTTCAACAAATACATCAAATCATTTTGTACGAAATAATCCTAAAAGTCTAAAAGATACAGATTTAACAGCTCTGGCATTTTTATTTTATTTTATTCGTTATTTATTAAATTATTGGTTTTAACATTAGGAAGATTCATGCAATTTTATACCTGAATATATGTTGTGCGTACGTTAGCCACTAATAATAAACGCTTCAGCTCATTTAGGAAACGGGAGCTGTGACTTCTGATTTTAAAACTTTTATATATTTCTAAATATTTAACTTTAATTACAGAAACTTTTTTCATTGGAATCTCTTCAAATTTTGAAATATGTTCTGTTGGAAATCTGCTTCAACAAATATACTTTATTTTGTATTCATTGGTTACAATATTCTGACACTTTTAGCCTTTTAGCTAATATATTTGGCTATCTTTTAGCTGATTTTAGTTTGTCTAAAACATTTTGAGTAGGAAGTCAAAGAAACAAAACTAAAATTTTCTACCTGGACCAGTGGAATATATCAGAACATTGTACCTGTTTCACAAAGTTTAGGTTTTAGCTGTTTCACTTTTAGTTTTCAGCTAGCATTTTGCTACATTTGGCTATCCTTTTGCTGGTTTTAGTTTGTCTAAAAAGAAACAACTTTAGATTTTTGTACCTAGATTATTGAGATGCATCAGGTCATTTTAGCTTGCATTTCACAACTTTTAGGCTTTACGTTTGTTCTGCCGCTTTTAGTTTTTAGCTAGCATTTAGCTACATTTAGCTATCCTTTTGGTGATTGTAACCTGTCTAAAACAAGAAACATCTTTAGATTTTTCTTCCTGGATCATTGAGATAAATCAGGACGTTTTAGTTTGTGCTTTACAACTTTTAGCTGTTATTCTGCCGCTTTCAGCTTTTAGCTCGCATTTTGCTATGTTCAGCTTTTAGCTCGCATTTTGCTATGTTCAGCTTTTAGCTAGCATTTTTCTATGTTCAGCTTTTAGCTCGCATTTTGCTACTTTTAGTTAGTCATTGATTTTAGCTACTTTTAATTTTTACCTATTCTCTTCGACAACAATTAGCTATAATTTTGCTACTTTTTGCTTTTAGGTAGCTTTTTGCTACATTTAGCTATTCTTGCCATATTTAATCCATTTGATCCTTTTAGCTTCAAGCTAAACTTTGGCTGGTTTTAGTCAGTCTGTTATTGCATATTTAGTTATTATCCAACTTTTTTTCTACGTAGTTATTAGCTGCTTCTTTTAGCTTTAGCTGCTCAGATTCATCTTCTGCAGGACTTTTTATCACTCTTTATTTATTGCTCACTAAGATGATTTCTGGATGTTTTTGTTTTGTTTTTCTTCACTGTCAAAAAAAAAGTTTTGTCAGCAGATTTGCTTTTAAAAGCGAAGCTTCACATCTGCCTTTCATCACATGTTAGCCAGTAAAAGTCGTGATAATTAGCATAAAGTGTCATTAAAGCTTGTGTTCGTTGACGGGACGATGGTACCGGTTATCTTATCGTAGTCTGGAGCCTGAGAGTCGGAGCTGCTGCTCTCCTCCACCTCCTGCCTCCTCTGTCGCACGCCTCCTTCCAGGCCACCGAAGTCCCTCTGCAGAACAACAAACACACAAAACCTTTCACGCTTTTTGCTGCAGCTAAACAGACTTTAGAGAGAGGCCGTGCAAAAATAATAATACTTCATTCCTGCCTCAAGCTTTTGGAGGCTTTGATGAAAAAAACTAGGCTGTGAAACAGTTTGTGTGTTTGTTGTGTAGAGACTCACCAGAGGAAAACGAGGCGATAGTGGTGACCTCTGACCTCTGAAGCTGTTAGGAGCTGAGGAGGGGATGGGGCTGCTGCATGGACTCCTTTCCTGAGCACAAAAACCACAACAAAGTGAACAACCAACCTGACAGATGTCTAACATCTGCCAGGATGAAATGAGACGAAATGAAAGTAAAACATTTAATTCGTCTGTTTATAAGGGTTGACTGAAAAAGGCCCTTCATCATCTTCAAATCAAAATAATCTTTGAGAGCTTTAAATTGACTTGAGCTTGTGATGAATTTATAATGACTTTATATATTTTTATACTGAATTTATATAGATCCTGTGTTTTCGTACACTTGAGATTACCGTAATTTTAATAATTTGAATAAGGTAAAAACTTTTATGTTGTAGGATATTTTGTGTTTGATTAACTGAATTTTACATTCAGTCTTAAATAAACTTTGTAACTGATTGCAGTCATTTACTTTAAACAGTAAGAGAATCAACAAGTTTTTATTTAACAACCTCGCTTCAGCAGTGTAAACACATAATGTTTTATATTTCAGGACTGGTTTAAGAGTATTTCCTTGTTTTAGGGGGAATGACATCATATCCAGGGTGTGAACAGGTTTCCATTAATTAATTTATTTATTTTGGGGTCTCCGAAGCCACAGACAGACAGGCTCGGAGTGAAATGGAGACTTTGGATCTGAAAAATGAACATTCAACTGACATTTTCATTTGTTTTCTGTTTATTATTTGGTCTCTACGGAGCCCGTAAGACGACATGGGGAGATTTTTTTTTCTTTTACGTTCCCACGCAATAGTATTGCGTTACCTCACATTACTTTTGCGTTAACCTCACAAAATTATTTTTGCTTTCCCTCACAAAAGATTGGTTTGCATACGATCCATTTTCCATTTTCTTCCGCCTATCCGAAGTCGGGTCGCGGGGGAAGCAGCTTCAGAAGGGAGGCCCAGACCTCCCTCTCCCCAGCCACTTCTTCCAGCTCCTCCGGGGGAACTCCAAGGCGTTCCCAGGCCAGCCGAGAGACATAGTCCCTCCAGCGTGTCCTGGGTCTTCCTCGGGGCCTCCTCCCGGTGGGACGTGCCCGGAATACCTCACCAGAGAGGCGTCCAGGAGGCATCCTTACCAGATGCCCGAGCCACCTCAACTGGCTCCTCTTGACGTGGAGGAGCAGCGGCTCTACTCTGAGTCCCTCCCGGATGACCGAGCTTCTCACCCTATCTCTAAGGGACAGCCCAGCCACCCTGCGGAGGAAACCCTTTTCGGCCGCTTGTATCCGGGACCTCGTTCTTTCGGTCATGACCCAAAGCTCATGACCATTGATGAGGGTAGGAACGTAGATCGACCGGTAAATCGAGAGCTTCGCTTTCTGACTCAGCTCTCTCTTCACCACGACGGACCGGTACAGCGCCCGCTTTACAGCAGACGCTGCGCCAATCCGCCTGTCGATCTCCCGCTCCGTTCTTCCCCCATTCGTGAACAAGATCCCCAGATACTTAAACTCCTCCACTTGAGGCAGGACGACCCCCCTGACCCGGAGAAGGCGCTCTACCCTTTTCCGGCTCAAGACCATGGCCTCGGATTTGGAGGCACTGAGCCTCATCCCGGCCGCTTCACACTCGGCCACGAACCGCTCCAGTGAGAGCTGCAGATCACGTTCCGATGAAGCCAACAGGACCACATCATCCGCAAAAAGCAGAGATGCGATCCTAAGGCCACCAAAACGGATCCCCTCAACACCTCGGCTGCGCCTAGAAATTCTGTCCATGAAAGTAATGAACAGAATCGGTGACAAAGGGCAGCCTTGGCGGAGTCCAACTCTCACCGGAAACGAGCCCGACTTACTGCCGGCAATGTGGACCAGACTCTGACACCAGTCGTACAAGGACCTGACAGCCCGTATCAAGTGGCCCGGTACCCCATACTCCCGGAGAACCCCCCACAAGGCCCCCCTTGGGACACGGTCGAACGCCTTCTCCAAGTCCACAAAACACATGTAGACCGGTTGGGCGAACTCCCATGCACCCTCCAGGACCCTGCTGAGGGTGTAGAGCTGGTCCAGTGTTCCAAGACCAGGACGAAAACCYCACTGRTCCTCCTGAATCCGAGGTTTGACTATCCGACGGACCCTCCTCTCCAGGACCCCTGAATAGACCTTACCAGGGAGGCTTGAGAGTGTGACCCCCCATAATTGGAGCACACCCTCCGGTCCCCCTTTTTAAACAGGGGGACCACCACCCCACTCTGCCAATCCAGGGGGACTGCCCCCGATGTCCACGCGATATTGCAGAGTCGCGTAAGCCAACACAACCCTACAACATCCAGAGCCTTAAGGAACTCCGGGCGGATCTCATCCACCCGTTGTTTTGCATTCGAACTGAATTAAATCAGACTTTTATTTTGAAATATCCGGTTACCAAAACAGAATGTGTCGCCACAGGTTTGTGAAATTGACATTGATGTTGCGTGACTGCATTGTGTTAAAATATCGGCATATGACATACTTCTATGCGTGGCTGTGTGACATATTCATTCTGAAGCTGAATTAAAGCAGTAGGCTAACTCGCTAATGGTGAACATGTGAGTTTGTTAATAAAGCGGCAGGCACAACAGTGATAAACTACTTTTGTGAGGGAACGCAAAAGGTATTGCGAGGTAACGCAATACTATTGCGTGGGAACGCAAAAGAAATTAAACCTCCCATGTCCCCTCGTGGGCTCCGTAGTCTTCCAATCTGATACATAAACAGAGAGACTTTTATTTTCCCATGACTCAAAAAAAGTGAAATAAATAAGAAGTTTTTTTGTTTTGTTTTTGGAAAAAGAAAAAAATGAGGCAGTGTGTGGAAATCTCTTACCTCCAAGTGAAGACACACCGACATCAGAAACTTGTAGGTGTTTTCTCTGGACAGGAAGGACACGAACACATACTGCAGCGGAAAGATTCGTTCAGAAAAGCATCTTGTTTTTTTTTTTTATCAAACACTCTCTGGAGTTCAGCTCTCACCCTGTCGTTTGTCGTTGCGATCACCAGAGCGTTTGGCACCAAGATGGCAGTTTTAGTTTTCTTGATGTTTGTAATCGACGTCACAGGGATGGCGATCTGTGACACACAAACTGGTAAAAGACTTGTACCTGACAAGTTCAGATCATGTTCTCTATGTTTGAATCTCCTCAGAGCCAGAGGTGCAGCCAGAGGGGTGGCCAGGGTGGCAAGTGCCACCACTGGCACCTGATAGGCCACCCCAAGTGCCACCCCTAAAAAAACTGACAAGTGGGTGGGGAGCTTAGATTTTGTATTTGCATTTAGATTTTGTTAAAGCTTTTTCTCTAATTCTATTATAGCTGTGTATGTTTAAACATGGCTCAATTATAGCTCTTTGTAAAATTAGCATTAGCATTAGTGGTTAGCTTAATTTGGGATTAGCATTGACAATCGGCATGCAATCATTCTTAGCTACCTCACAATAAATTTAATTTCACTAAGTCTTAAAATGGCTGTATTTATGGCAGGGCTATTCAACTGGTGGCCCGAGGGCCACATCCGGCTCGCGAGTGACCAAAGTTCGGCCCGCCAATTGGTTCATTCATCTCTTAAGCCCAAACTCCCGGTTTTCTACTTTAATCACTCTAAGTTCTTTTGCTTAAACATAGACATGTTTGGTATCTACAGAAACTTCAGAACCTTGGTTAGAAGCTGGTAAAAACAATTTCTATGAACACTCAAGACAGTTAAAACTACATGCAGATGAAGATAAAATGATGAAAGTGAAAATAAAATTGGTTTAAAAATTTGGCAAGTAAGAGATGTCAAAATAATATTAGTGTCAAATAGGAGGCGTAATGTTTTCTTTTTGTTTTTGATAATGTGTAATTATCACTACTTTTATAGGGTTCTGTATTTCGTCTTCATGATTAAATGCAGCAAAATAAACTAATTCAAAGGTAACATGTCTTTGCAACACTTGGTTTATTTACATAATAACTTTAATTGCTGGATGTTCGGCCCCTCAGCTGTTGACCGGCAGTAACTGTGGCCCCCAGAGCAATTTAGTTGAATAGCCCTGATTTATAGCCTTTTAAAGGCTGTGTCCAAAACGGCAGGACGGGTCCTCCGAAGGTCGAATTTGTCGGCCGCATACATCACAGCGCCGCGACGAAGGACGTCCAAAACGGAAGACTCCTCCAATGCGGTCGACAAATACGTCCTTCCTTTGGCCCGAATTGAAGGACAGGTCCGATGGATCCTTCCCGGCCCAGCATATCCCATAATGCATTGCGGCCCGACCGGAGATTTTTTTATGCTAGTAATGGCGGACGAAGCGAGAGAAAATAATATGTTTTAAATAGGGCTGCACAGATTAGTTG